CTTCCCAAACCTTCCCTTCCCAGACCTTCCCTTTGGCACTGATGTGATGCTGCAGGCTCAGGGATGCTCTGACTCCTGCAGGGGTTGGCACTGCCTGGTGGGCACCCTCCTCCTCCTCCTCCTCCTCCTCCCCAGGAGAGGGGCAGCCCCTCAGCCCCTTCCACCACTTCAGCCCCTGAATCTGCCCCTACTGACATCAGTTCTGCCCCATCTGCCCAAGGATCTGCTGCCTGCAGGTGTCTGGGTCACCTGAGAATCCTGGAAATGTTCCTTTGGAAAAGCCCTCTAAGATCATTGAGTCCAACCACTCCCCCAGCTCTGCCATGTTCACCATGGAACTGTGTCCCCAAGTGCCACATCCACAGGTCTTCTGACCACTTCAGGGATGGTGTCTCCATCACTGCCCAGCCCTGAGCACCGTTTTGATGCAGAAATTTCCCCCTATATCCAACCTGAACCACCCCTGGAACAACTTGAGGCCATTTCCTCTTGTCCAATCTTCTCCCAGCCAAGAGGATTATAGAGTCACAGAAATGTTTGGGGTAGAAGGGACCTTTAAGGGCCACCACGTGTAATCCTTGTCATGGGGAGGGACATTTCCCACTCCATCCAGAAGGGATGCAGCCACAGCCCCTCCTCCCCATCTATCCCCCAGCCCCTGGGCCAGGCTCATGGGCACAGGAGGGGATGGGAGGCTCCTGGCTGTGCCCTTTCCCTCCTCAAAACCACCTCTGTGCTCATGCCTTCATGTCAAGAACATTTTATTTGCAAAGACAAAAAGGCAAGAAACAAACAGCCATTGAAAAACGTACAGCAGGAGAGCACAATAACTTACACTATTTACAGGAACACACCAAGGTAGAAAACACACACACACACAAACCCCTCATACTCTGCCAAACCCAGCCAGGGCCGGGCTGCACAGCCCCCACAGAGACACCACCAGCCTCCAGGGCAGCTGGCCTCTGGGAAAAGCCCCAAAAGTGTGAAAAGGCATCTGCTGTTGTGCTCCTTGTGCAGGGAGGAGTGATGGGGCAGGGGACACAGTGCTGCAGCTGCCCCACACCAGGCTGGGGCAGCACCTGGGGGTGCCAGGCCAGGAGGAGCAGGTGGGAGGAACCAGGGCAGAGCTGTGGAGGGTGAGGGGACGAGCCCTGGGGCAGGAGGAGGAGGAAGGTGCAGGGCTGTGGTGGGTGACAGGATGAGCTCTGGGGAGGAGAAGGAAGGTGCAGGGCTGTGGTGGGTGACAGGATGAGTTCTGGGGAGGAGGAGGAAGGTGCAGCGCTGTGCTTTTCTGGGAGCTGGGTCTGTCCCAGTTACAGCTGGAGCACCGTGCAGCACCTGGAGGGGCTGGGGGTCCTCGTCCCTTCCCAGAAGGGTGAGGGGGGCTCAGGAGGACGAGCAGCCTGCAGGAGACAGTGAAGCTCCAGGGGGAATGTGGAAAGCAAACTGGAGCCCTGTGCTTGGCAGGGATCGTACCTGGACTCTCCAGTGTGGGGCACTGGGAGGACTGGTGAAGGACTGGTGAGGAGAACTGGAAGGACTGGTGTGGGGCACTGGGAGGACTGGTGAAGGACTGGTGAGGGGCACTGGTGTGGGGCACTGGGAGGACTGGTGAAGGACTGGTGAGGGTGAGGAGCACTGGGAGAGCACCATGGGAAGCAGGCACTGGGTTTGCAGCACCAAGGCAGGAGGCAGCAGTTGAGACCCCAAAGCAGCTGCTCAGAGGTGGTGGGGAGGGAACCTGGGGGGACAGGATGGGACCCCAGAGCTCCCAGCCCAGCCTGTGCCATCAGAGCTGTAGGTGACAGGGAGGGGACACTGCTCAGGAGGGCTCACAGTGGTTTGGGGGTCCAGTGCTTTCAGGCTCCTGCCTCTGGTCCAGCCCTGCTCCCTCCACAGAGGCTGGAGCTGTGTGCTGGGGGTGAGGAGACCCCCAGAGCCAGAGATGGGCCCTGGGAAAGAAGCACAACCCAGAAGCCTGAGGCAGGAGTGCAGGTATGAGCACACCCTTGTCACAAAGCCAAGTGCCCAAGGACAGAGGAAAGTGAGGTGTGTGGTACAAAGGCAGCTCCAAAGTGTCCCTGCCCTGGAGGGGCTCTGAGACCACCAGAGAGGACTTCAGGTGTGCAGCCAGCACAGGGCACAGGAATGGAACAGCTCACCCACAGGCAAAGAGCCTTCAGCCCAGTCCTCCTCCTCCTCCTCCAGCCTCAGCCCATGGTCCCATTGGAGCTCTGGAGGGCCAGGGACCAAGGGGCCACCCCTGCTAGACCCACTGCATGTGGGACCTTGTGCTTTAGTGTTTGGGAGGACCTGCACCCCAAACTGGCTCAGAGCCCCCTGACCCCTGTGCCAGGGCAGCTGCCAGCCTGAGCTGGGGCTCCAGGGCTGGTTTATGGCCAGTGCCTGGCACTCAATCTAGACACAACTACAGGTTTTGGGAATGAAAAATCCATCACGCAGCAGAATCAGGTTCTCACAGACCATGCCCAGCCTGGGCAGAGGCTTTCCCAGCACCTGCAGCAGGCTCTGGGCACTGGTGGCTGGAACCAGCCCACCCAGCAATGTGCTCTGCACAGACATCTCCCAGCCCAGAGCTCCATCACAGCCACAGAGTGTGTGAGAGAGCAGAGGGAGAAATTTGGGCTGGGCTGAGCCTTTCAGAGCAGCAGGCTCTGGGCAGAGGTGGCTGGAACCAGCCCACCCCAGCAATGTGCCCTGCACAGACATCTCTCAGCCCAGAGCTCTATCACATCCACAGAGAGTATCTGTGAGAGAAAAGGGAGAAATTTGGGTGAAATTTGGGCTGAGCTGAGCCTTTCTGAGCAGCAGGCTCTGGGCAGAGGTGGCTGGAAGCAGCTCACCCCAGCATTGTGCTTTGCACAGACATCTCTCAGCCCAGAGCTCCATCACAGCCACAGAGTATCTGTGAGAGCAGAGGGAGAAATCTGGGCTGAGCTGAGCCTTTCTGAGCCCCCTTTCCAAGGGGGATGGAGCCACCCCCAGGCTGCCAACCAACCCGATCACCAATGGCAACACCACAGATCCTCAGAATCCCATGAGGAATGGGAGCAAAATCTCAGTGTTGCAGCTGCTCTGGGGGATCCCTCTGGGGCAGGGACCCCAGCCCTGCTCCCTGCCCAGGAGGAGCAGGGAGGGGACACAGGGGGTGGCTCAGACAAGCAGCAAGGTGGGAGGGAGGCCACGTGTCCCCCAGGATGAATTCAAGTGTCAAAACCATAACAATAACAATAATTAGAAGAAAAAATAAAAATTCTTACACCACAAACTCCCCACCCCATCCCCAATAGGAAACCAAATGAGAACAGCACCCAGCTTGCACCGTGAGGTAGCTAAACCAGATCAACAGCAAGAAATGCTCTTCTGCATGAGAAACATCAACCCACACAGGAACTAAGAGCTACACACACACACACACACACACACAGAGCTATGGGGTCACAGTCACCCCTGGCCTGGTTCCAGCCAGGACAGAGTTCATTTTGCAGTAGCCAGGAGGGGACATGGCCAGAGCCCAGAGGTTCTTTTAGGCCACCTCACATCATTGATGGGCAGGGGTAAGGGATCTCTTCAATCAGGGTAACACTGTGGAGAGCATTTGCACGTGATTTGCTCTCTTTTGTACACTTTTGTTATCAATATTGTTGCACTTTTGTTATTAATATTGTTGCTGTTCATTTTTCTTATCTCATTGCTGTTTCCAGTCAATTGTTCCTATCTCTGCCTGTGATTTTTTTTACCTTTTGTGCCTCTAATCCTCCTCTCCATCCCACCACAGGGAGGGAAGGAGGTGAGGGTTGTGGCAGCACACAGTTGTAGTGGGAACACCAAATTGGGGAATAGCAGTCCTAAACCACAACAGTTTTTTGTTGGGTTTTTTTGGCATCCAAGGTAGGGCTTGAACAGTTGAGATAACAACAGATCTGCCCAGAGTGGCTTGCAAGCAAATTAGATCTCAACATTTTCTGTATTGGGTACTGAGCCACTGGTGACAGCATTGCCTGCTCTGCCCATGTGGGTACCCAACCCTGCACATACTCCTGTCTGCTCCCATCACAGCCTGTCTCAGAGCAGGGAGGGGGATCAGGATTGCTCTGTTTATGACATGATAACATCAAGGGTCATTAGGGCTGTTTTGAGTGTTGCTCTTCTACCCCTACCTGGGGCACTTCCTTTGGGACTTCATTAATAACAATCATGACCACCCCATGGGGGAACATGGGAGGATGATTTTTCCCAGACCTTCACCCCTGTTAAAACAGCTTCTGAAGCTCTGAATTCCCTTGGGATGTTAAGGAAATAATTTTGCCAGGTGTCCTTAGTGCAGTGCACATAGTCTTTGGAGTCAAGAAAGAGATTTCTGGGGAGGTTATTCAGAGCTCTGAACAGAACAAACAGTGTTAAAGGTGACTCTCCAACTCTGATGATGATCATTATTGTTTTTCCTTCCTACCAACCCATGTCTCAGCTGTGTAAAGAGACTGTCTAAGACTGGAGTAGCCCAGGTCCAGTTTAGGACTGGACTTATCCTCCAGTCCAGGGCTGTGGACTGAGGAAATGTCCCATGTCACACCAGTACAGAGCAGAGCCTCTGCTGCTGGGAGCAACTGGCACACCACAAGGCATCCTATGGTTTTACCTGCATGAGCACAGAGAGGACAGGAGGAATTGGGAAGGAAAACCCACCTCTGCCCCAGAAGCATGGCTGTGTGAGCTGAGAGGGAAAACAACAACTGCAGGGATTCATCAGGGATAAGTGCCAGCCCAGCTTCCAGTGGGCATGTGCTCAGACAGAATCAAAGGGCTAATGTCACTTCTGATCGCCCTGAATGCACCTCCACAGGGGCAGCAGTGAGCAGTGAGCACCCAGAGGGCCCTGCCTGCAGCCAGGGGGAGAGAGCAGCACTGGGCTCTGCTGGGCTGTGCACCAAGGCTGGCCCAGCAGATCCACAGCAGTGTAAGGCTTGGTCACAATGTACTGATGCCATGGAGACACACAGGGGAGGATCCATTTCTCCTCCTCAGAGGAGAGGTCTACTCTGGTCAGCAGAATATGGCTGTGGTCAGGTCAGGGTGAGCAGTATGCATGTGAATCATTTCCTCTTTTCTGTACTTTTGTTATTAACATTGCTGCTGTCTTCCTGTTTGTTTTTTATCTCACTGCTGTTTCCAGCAAATTGCTCTTATCTCAACCTGTGATCTTCATCTTTTTACCTCCAATTCCCCTCTCCACCCTGCTAGGGATGGGGATGGGGGTTTTAGTGGGAGCACTAAATGGGAGAATGCTATTCCTAAATCAGGACTCTCCTCCCTTCAAACCCCCTGCCTCAGGACAGCAATGCCCCAGCACCACCTCCCTCCATCCATGGGCTGTGAGAGCCTGGACACAGCAGCAGGAGAGGCTCAGGACTGGCCACTCAGCCCTGGAATACTGAACAGGCCCTTTCAGCCTGCACACAGGGAGGTGTTGGGGGCAAAGGCAAGGAAGGTCTGACCCTGGGAGCCCCCTCCAGCCATGGCAGCAGGGAAGGCTCAGGGCAGGCACTGGAGATCTCAGAGCACACAGATTCAATACTTACAGCCAAACACTTCCCAGAGACAGCCACACACACACAGAGCCCCTCCAGCCAAACCAGCTGAGGGATGAGTGTAAAAACCCCTCCAAGACAGGCCTGGGGGGGAGACACCTCCTGCAGACCCCCATGGCTGTGTGCCACTGGGTGCTGAGCTCTCTGTGCACTTTTGGCCTGCACAGGTCACACAGGATGGATGGGAGCCTCTCCTCAGCACAGCCACCAGTCCTGGCAGTGCAGGGCTCAGCCACACTCCCAGGGAGCAGGGACTGTCCTGGCAGGGTCACTCTCTCACACAGACAGACACACACTCACACACATGTACCATTTACCCTCCAACAAGGCAAGCCAGCAGGATGGAATTTTCCCAAAAAAAGGCAACCCTCCCCTTCCCCCACCAAATCAATACAGAAATTCCTGTCTTTCATGATGCAGAGATGCAGAGGGATCCCCTCACTCCAGCCAGAGTGCCTGGAGCAAGGGCTGGTGGCAGATGAGCTGGGGCAGGTCAAGGTATCACCATGGTTGGAGAGAGCAGAGGGGAAATGGTCTGTGCTTGATGGGGCAGGTCCTGGAGCCCCTGGCCTCCAAGATCCCAGTTCAGTGCTGTGGGATCACATGGAGAAATCCTTAAATTTGAGTTCAAGTGCTGCTTCTTCTGTGACAATGGGGAAAGGAGAGTGTGTGAGGCAGGAACACCCATCCTGGGGTCTCCTTGGCCATTCCACAGGGCAGGACAGAGCAGGGGATGGTCCAACGGGCCATAGAGAGATGGAGGGAAGCTCCAGTGTGAGACCAGGGACTTACCAGCCCCCCTTGAACAGGAGAGACTGAGGAAAGAGCCTGCAGAATGTCCTTGGGGAAACAGTCCTGGGTGGAGCCCCCAGACCCTCCAGGAGATGAGATTGTGCGAGATCATCCACTGCAGGATTGTCCTTCCAGCACAGGGGGAGTCAGGGACTTGTGCAAGGTCAGTGTGCAACCCTGTCCCCCTCTGCTCCTGCCACAGTGACTCTGGCTGCTCCCTGCCTTGCTGGCTCCTCTCCAGCCTTGCATCCATGCAGGCCCAGCCTGAGCAAGCTCCAGTCCAGGCAGAGGTGAGGGCAGAACCCAAGGGAAGGACAGACAGAGCCACAGCAGTGGGGTGCCACATCCAGCCTCGGCCTTTTTGCCCTGTAACCTCCATTCCTGCTTCATTTCTTCATCTCAAGGGGTTAACTGGTGCAGGAACCCAGCACAAAGCCCTGATGGGGTCAGGATGTTCAGAGCAGGGCTGAGCAGGCTGGGCATGTGGGAAAGAGCCCAGAGCCAGGGGGCAGTTGAGTTTACAAGTGGGGTTTGGAGAATGTCAAAGGAACTGCAGCAGGTCAGTCTGGAAGCTGCCCAATGGAGAACATCCCAGGCTTGCTGTGCCTCATGAGATGGGACATGGCAAAGGAGCTCAGAGTGCACCCTCCAACCACTGGGGACACGTCCACACAGGAAAGGGAAGGCTGGGAGTACCAGGAAATCCTTCTGCAGTCCCCACAGCAGAGGTGTCTCACAAGAAATGGCTCCAGAGAAGCATTCTCTGTGTGGTGGTCCTGGCCAGCAGACACCAAATGTCCTCGTGGAGTGGAGAAGATTCCTGCAGGAACCAGCCCAGGAGCAGCACAGCACGGCAGAGCCATGGCAGGAGGGAGCTGGGTGTCTCTGAGGAGTCAGGGACCTCTGACCCCCAAAGTCCTTACAGCAGGATGGTGAGAGATGAAACATTTCCTGTTCACTGGAGAACCATCAGAAACCTCAGCAGGAGGGCAGGTGGAGCTGCTGCTGCCCCACAGAGCTGCTTCCTCACAGGAGCTGACCAGAGTACCAGATGCAGCATTGTCCACCCCGTTGGGTCAGGCACAAAGAAACCCCTGTGCTGGGCTGAGCTCCTGTGGGTGGCTGAGTCCTCACTGAGAGCAGGGGAGGTGCCCTGCCCCTCACCCTGCCCACGCCTTCCAGTCTTTGTGCAGTTCCTAGTTTGACCCCGCAGGCAACCTCCTCCCACTCCAGAGCTTCACTGTCAAGTCGCTGAGGAGCAAAGGTGAGAGGGACAGCATGACCCAGGGGTTGGGGCAGGAGCCCCACAGCACTGCCCACAGGGTGCTCACTGCCCTCCCCTCCCCAGCATGGCAACATGCAGCCCCCCAAGCTTCCAGGCCCTTCTCCCTTGGCAGGAATTGTCTGGTGCACTTTGGGGAGAAGGCAAACCCAATGGGGCTCAGCCTCCAGCTCACCCCACTGGCAGCAGCTGGGGACAAAGGGAATGGGTGACCCCACACCAGGACTCCTACCCGCCCTGAATGAGCTCCAGCAGTGAAATCCAGGGAGCTGCTTTGCTCCTGGGGCATGGGCTGATTTGGGGGTGGCTGCTGACTCCCAACCCACTATCCATGCAAAGGCACGGGCAGGCCGTGGCTTCCCACTGAGGTGCCAAAGTAGATGTGGGCACTTGGCGAGGAAAAAAACAAAAAGAAGTGAAACCAAGGCAGGGGATGACTGGGCCAAGGGGGTGAGTCCATTCTAACAAAGACTTATCAAGTGGAGAAAAACTCAGAATAGTTTCATACCGTGAAGAAGCAGCTCAGACCAGAGAAAAAACGGGGGGGAGGGAAAGAGAGAGAGGAGCAAAAGCAACAGTGAGAGGAACAGAAAGAGGGGAGGGATGGAGAGAAAAGGGAAGGAGAGACAGAAGAGGAGCATATGAGCAAGAGAGTCAAGAGCAGGAGGGTCAAGGCAGACTAGTAGCACGGCCCTTTATGGCAAGGACGCGTCGTGGAAGGCAAGGGGTGAGCCCAGGCACGTAATTCCATAACTTTACCCGGCAGTCACTGTGGCACAGATGGGAGGGGGGGAGAAGGAGAGGCAGAGAGAGACAGAGAAAAAGGAAGGGAGAAAAGGGACAGGGTCGAAAAGAGGATATCAGAGTCTTGCTGCTGAAGAGCTCCCCGAGAGCAGCAGCCAATGCCCAGCCCCGAGGGAGAGGGGTCCCTGCGTGGGGAGTAACCCAGGGCATCACCAGAGCGTGGGCAGGGGGTGGCCAGGGACAGCTGTGGGCACTGCAGTGGGCAGGCCTGGCCGTGGGCAGCTACAGTGGGCACAAGGAGATGAAGGAGGGACTAAAAGCTGCAATTCCCTCCCCGCTCCCTGCTCACCCACCCAGCCCCAGGGGGGACAGCTCACACCCAGGGTCTCCCCCTTCCCAGGGGCCACAGGGGCAGAGTGCTGGGGGCTCACCTGGAGGCCGTGAAGATGTGCTTGGAGTTGGTGCAGATGGCGTTGATGGGGCTGTCATGGCCCTTGATCTCCCCCACTGGGGTGAAGTTGTCCACGTTCCACACCTTGATGACGCCTCCTCGGCAGGCGCTCAGCACCATGGGGCGCCCGGGGATGAAGGCCAGGGCACACACCCAGTCCTTGTGGGCATTGGGGATTTGCTGGAGGCACAGAGCACAGCCATGACCAACCTCACCTGCAGCACCACATGCACCCATCTGGCTCCCTGTCCCAGCTCCTCACTGACACCGCAGGACTGACTGGGACCTGGTGGAACTGGAGGTGCCCAGCTAGGAGCCAAGGGTGTGGGCTCAAAATCATGGCTTGGTTTCTCCCTTGGGCAGGAGACTACCCAGAATTCAGGGTGGAACACAAGCCCCCACACTGCAACTGATGCCTCAGTCTGTCTGAAGGAGAGGCAGCAATCCCAAGCATCCTGCTGGACAAATTATGGGGGCACAGCACACCCTCACCCACACATGATCAGGACTGTAAGTGCCCGCTCCACTGGCACCAGGTTCCTGGACAACCCCCCAGGCCCCAGCAGCAACCCCCCTGTGCCCTGTGCTCCCCTCCAGACCTGGATAAGTTCCTGCTGCTCCAGATCCCACTTCTTTATGCCATTGTCCCTGGAGCCACTGAAGAGGACATCTCCCTGGATGGCCAGGCACTCAATGCCATCGTAGTGAGGGGGCTCGAAGTTGTGAGTGGGGCTGATATTGCCCACCATGCCCTCCGTGATCTCAAACACCTGGGGGAGAGCAGCAGGTAACAAACCACGGATGGCACTGGGGACTCCCTCCCGTGGGCAGTTTGGGCACCACTCTCTGTGTCCCAGGCTCAGGGACACAAAATCAGAGTGATTTTGGGAATGGGACTGGGCATTGGTTGCTGAAGGCTTTTCGGGCTGAGGGTCCTGCCACAAGCAGAGGAGATCTGCCGCCAGGGACAGCCCCACTCTGCTGCATTTTAGTCATGGTGAACCTTCACACTCCTCTGGAGCCACACTGACAGCTGAGGGGGATCTGTCTCACCATCTCACCACCCCTCCCCACTTCCCTGGGGACAGTTCTAGTGAAACCTGCTAAAACCTGAAAGGAAGGGACAGGCTCCTGCTGTGCTGGAGCTGTGACTGAGCAGGCACAAGACATCTTTATCAGTGGGGGATTATTGAGCAGAACAGGGTGAACTGCTCATCTGGGTCAGCCCTCACATGCAAATCACAGCCAGAGAGTCTGGAGAAGTTGCATTTCTCTTATGCATCAAAAGTGCATTGTGAACCAAGCAAAAGGCAAGATTTGGGAAGAGGAAACAAGGGAAAACCTCACATGCAGAGGTGAAAACAGAATCTGGGCTCTGCTCTCAGGAGGAGGGAAGAGTGAGGGGTTGCCAACATCTGGGCTTCCCTACAGGACTTGAAAAATGTGAGTGTTAAAGTGGTAGGTGCTGCTGCCTATGTCTTGTCCCCAGCAAGCCTCTCCTGTTGAAAGGCAAGGCTTTAACAGTCAGGCAATGCAGTCAAACCTCCACTCAACACTCACCACAATGGCTCAGTGATAGAGGCAAGAAAGGCTCTTTTGCAAGGGTTTATTCCAGCAGGGTAACTCAGTCCCTGAAGGACAAACCCGGGGAAAGAGGAAGAACCACGAGGAGCCGGAGCTCATAAAGGGGAAGGGGTGGGGGGCAGAGGGGCCTGGCCACCAGGGGTAGGAAGATGGTACCAGGGATACCAAACCAGTGACAGGGGAAGGAGAAACCAGGGGAAGTTGTGACACCAAGTCCATAGGGGAGACTGTTTTCCCTTTGGGAGGGATGATCTATGGTAAGTGTTAATGATGTTTCCAGGGCTCAGGGCTTGGGGATTGACCAAGAGGGGAGAGTTCATGGGATGCTACAGGACTGGGGGTGCTGCTCCCCAAGGAGCAGAGTACCTTGACATAGTGATCCTTGGAGCCTGTGACCACCAGGTCGTGGTTGCTCGGGGTCTGGCTCACTGTCAGGCACATCACGGGCCCGATGTGGCCGCTCAGCTTCCCCACGGGCTGCAGCCTGAGGGCAGCAAGGGCACAGCTCAGCCCCTGAGGGCAGCAAGGGCACCAGCACAGCCCCTGTGAGGGCAGCAGGGGCACAGCTCAGCCCCTGCAGGGGCAGCAAGGGCACAGCACAGCCCCTGAGGGCAGCAAGGGCACAGCACAGCCCCTGTGAGGGCAGCAAGGGCACAGCACAGCCCCTGTGGGGGCAGCAAGGGCACAGCTCAGCCCCTGTGAGGGCAGCAAGGGCACAGCTCAGCCCTTGCCCGTGCTGGGGCTCATCCTGAGGGCCCTCACACCCCCAGCCTCCCCCAGCCCTCCCTGGGTGCCCCAGCCAGGGCTGCTCCCTCTGGGGCAGAGCGGGCATGGAGAGCTCATTGTCCATGATCCAGGGGAGGAGGGCAGGCTGAGTGTGCCAACATCTGGCTGGACAGCCTCAGAGTGGGCCAACATCTGGCTGCAGAGCCCAGGCTGCAGCACAGGGTAAATTAATCTTTAATTCTTAAATTAAGATTTGTTATTATAAAATATCTTATTTTTTTTTTAAATTTAAAATATTAAGTTTTAAATAAATCTTAAAATTAAGAAAAATTTTAAAAGTCTTAAATTTAAGAAGACCTTAAAGATTTATGATCTTAAAAAATCTTAAATTTTTAAAGATTTAAAATCTTAAATGTTAAATTTAGGAAAAAATTAAAATCTTAAATTTAAGAAAATCTTAAATCCTAAATTAATCTTTAATTGTTAAAACTATGATTTATGATCTTAAAACAGCTTAATTTTTTAATAATTTAAAATCTTAAATTAAAAAAATAAAATCTTATATTTAAGAAGATCTTAAATTTAAATCTTAAATCTTAAAAAATCTTAAATTAATCTTTAATTCTTAAATTAAGCTTTATAATCTTTAAAAATCTTAAATTTTTTAAAAATGTTAAATCTTAATTTTTAAATAAAACAACTTTAAAATCTTAAATTTTTTAAAATTTAAAAATCTTAACTTTGTCTTAAATTTAAATCTTAAATCTTAACAAATCTTAAATTAATCTTTAATTTTTAAATTAAGATTTATGATCTTAAAAATATCTTCAATTTTTTAAAACTGAAAATCTTAAATGTTCAATTTAAAAATCTTGAACTTAAGATCTAAAAAAATCTTACATTTAATAAATAAAAAGATTTAAGAAAAACTTAAATTTACATCTTAAAAAATCTTTAACATTATTTTAAACCAAAACCACTACTACCCCATAGGAAAGCATCCTGAAAACCCTTATTCCAGGCAATTCCTGCTGTGGAAAAGGCTTTCAATTTGCCCCAGGGAATCATTTAATTGGCCCTTGGGGATCATTTCATGCCACTCCGAG